TCGGTAATCCCAACAACTTGAGAGACTGAGGAAGGACTAAAGACTGCAAATTCAAAGCCAGCCTCAGCAATTTAGTGAGACCCTGCCTCAAAATATAAAAATAAAAAGGACTGAGTATGTAGTTTAGTGGTAGAGTGCCTCTGGGTTCAATCCCCAGAATGGAGAGGTCACGAGATCTCATAGTCTTTGCTCCTGATTGATTCTTGATCTATTCCAGTTTTTTATTTAGAAATTTTGTGTGTGTGTGGTACTGGGGTTGAACCCAGAGGCTCACATCTGTTAGGCAAATGCTCACTGAGCTACATCCTCAGTGCTTATTTTATTTTGATATAGGTTCTCACTAAATTGCCCAGGCTGTTTTCAAACTTAGGATCTTCCCACCTCTGCCTCCATAGTAGCTGAGATTATAGGTATGTGCCACTGCACCTGGCTTCTTGATCTAATTTATGATGTTGACTATACTCTTTTAAAAATATTCCCTCGTTTCTGTGATATTTATACTCTTCTCATTTTCTTTCCATCTGTCTGACCCATCATCTATTTCTCTCTTTCACTTTTATTCTTCCTCCAACCTCAAATTGTGGTCTTCTTACAGCATCTCCAAGATGTTTAACCACATAGTCTTTCAGTTCTACACACTTTCTTTTGGAATACCCATTCATTTTTAGGGCTTCAAATATCACATACATATACTGCCAATGTCCAAATGTCTTATCTTTAACCTACCCATGCACAAAAGTTTCATATCTATCTCTTTAGCCTTCTGTTGGGCATATCCTCTTTGATGTCTCACTATCATGCCAAGTGTGCACATCATTTTGTTCACCACTGTTCTTCCCCTTCCACACCCAGAATAAGTTTCCCTATCCAGTTTTCCTGTTTCTCAGTGTCACCTTTATCTCAATGTCTTAAATTCAGAATCTTGAAATCATTCTCCTTATTTAGTCAGGTATCAGAATTCCCCCAAGCCTTTCCTTTCCAGTGTTTTCTTACTGACAGACTTTCATCCTCTTTCATTTGATCTGATGCTATCACTTCAGGCTCTCCCACAGCCTCCTCAACCCTGCATACCACTGCCATCTAATCTGTTTTAAATATAACTTATCTAATCAAAAATATTTCATTACTCCTATTTCCTACTATATCAAGTCTAAACACCTCTGTTTGGCTTTCAGGCTGCTCATAATCTAGCTCCACCTTGCTTGCCTTATTTCTCATTATTACTTAACACATTCCCTTTCCTTCAGTTAAGTTGGCTTTTGCAGTGTCACAAGAACAAGTCAAGTTCTTTTCTGCCCCCATAGCTTAAAAATGCAATTTCTTTTGTCCATAATGCCTCTCTTATCATAGACCTAAATTATACACATCTTGCAAGAGAATTGACTATGCTTCTTGTTTCCACTTCCCTGTTTTCTACTCTCTTTAGCCCACTTTACCCAGGCTTTCATCCACTGCACTATCCAATCCACAGTTCTTTTTATTTTTCTATCATTACTCACTTCCTTGGTCTTACCCATCTCAGTTAGTGATGCCATCATTTATCCAGTTGCTCTAACCAAAACACCTAGGAACCATCATTGGTTCTTCCTCATAACCCACATCCAGTTCAAAGCAAGTCCATCGAACATTCCCTTCAAAATATATTTCAAATGTGACCATATTATCTCACTGTTAATTCAAGCAAACAGTACCTTTCAGTGGTCTTACTGACCTTGCATAGTGTTATTTGACACAAAGCATCCAGAGTCATCTTTTAAAGATGTGAATATGTTCATGCTCCTTCTTTTTCTATGGTCTTTAAGGCCATACCTGATCTCCAACCAGTTGTCCCCAAAATGTCTGTTATAGCAAAAGTATTCAGGTCAGAACCAAGTATTTTAGATGTTAAATTTCTTCAGCCTCCTATAGCTTGAAACAGGTCGTCATTCCTTCCCTGATTTTCATGACCTTGACATGTTTTAATAGAATGGGCTCATTTTGTACAGTTTTCTTTGGATTGTGTTTGTTTGAATTTTCCTTGGGATTAGATTTCAGAGTATTCACCACAGAAATGGTGCTGAGTAATCATTACTTCCTTCAAGTGGCATATGATTTTTATTTGTCCCATTAACGATAGTGTTTATTTGATTATTGGTTAAGATGTCTATCAGGCTTTACTGTAAAGTTATTCTTTTCTTCCCCTTTGCAATTAATAGTTTATAGGGAAATACTTTGAAACTATATAAATGATCCTGATCCTCATCAAATGTTTCCATTTATTAATTTATATCAGTATGAACTCTTCATGAGTCCTTATTATATCTATTACCATCATTATTTATTTTGATGATCACATTCTCTAATATTTTGCCAGTGGGAGCCCTGTCAAGAAGGCTTCCATTCTTTAATATGATCCCCCTAATTCTTTAAGCATTTCCTTACATTCTGGCATGCAGAGTCTTCTTATACTTTCCCTATTCCAGCTCTGGAATCAGCCATTTCTCTTAAGAGCCTACAGAATGGGAGAAAATCTTTACCCCCTGTCCTTCATTTAGACCATTAATTTCCAGGATATACAAAGAAAACATTACACCAAAAAAAAAACCCTATCAGTAAATGCACAAAGGATTTGAACAGGCACTTCACAGAAAAAAATATGAATGATAAACAAATATATGAAAAAATTTTCGACATTGCTATCAATTAGAGAAATGCAAATTAAAAACTGACATTCCATCTCCCTCCAGTCAGGATAGTAATTATTAAAAATACAAGTAACAATAAATGTTGGTGAAGATGTGGGGAAAAAGGTACACTCATACATTGCAGGTAGGACTACAAATTGGTGCAATCACTATGGAAAACAGTATGAATATTCCTTAGAAAACTTGCAATGGAACCATCAATTGACCCAGTTATCCCACTCCTTGGTTTATACCCAAAGAACTAAAAATCAGCATAGTATAGTGATGTGGCCATATCAATGTTCATAGCAGCTCAATTCATAATAGTTAAGCTGTAGAACCAACCTAGGTGTCCTTCATTGATGAATGTATAAAGAAAATGTGGTACATATACACAATGGAATATTATTCAGCCATAAAAAAGAATGAAATTATGGCATTTTCCAGTAAATGGATACAATTGGAGACGATCATGCTAAGTGGAAATAAGCCAATTCCAAAAACCCAAAGGCAGAATGTTCTCTCTGATATGTGGATGCTAATGCACAATAGGGGGTGGGGGGAAATAGAAGTTCATTGGAGTAGATAAAGGAATGAAGGGAAGGATGGGAGATGGGAATGGGAAAGATAGTAGAGTGAATGTGCATATATGATTGCATGACCAGTGAAATTCTACATTATGTACAACCCCAAGAATGGGATCCTAATTAGAATAAGTTATACTCCATGTAGGTACAGTATGTCAAAATACACTCTACTGTCAGGATATCTAAAAAGACCAAATTCTAAAAATATTTTTTTAAAAAAGACCCCTGGTTTGTAACCTTTCCTTTTAGTAGCCAAGGTCTGGGCTTTCTTGGTGAACAAAACAAGGGAATATCTATAGCTGTGTGTACATGCACACATACACACACATACGCCTATATTTGTGTGTCTGTGTGGAAGTCCATGAGGTTACCCCTATACTGACAATTCCAATCCAGTACTATAAAGGTCATTCTAGTTTTCTCAACTTCCATATTTGTAATTTCTTCATTAGTGAGAAACCTGTCTCCTGTCATCCTTAACTTATTTGTTTGATCAGCTCCCTAAAATATAAACAAATTCCCATTCTCACCACATATGTCCCACATATAGATAGCCATCTCATCCTTCTGGGACTCTGACTCCCCAAACAGATTGCCTCCTCACCCTGCTTGAGCTTTGACATTCTGCCCTGGGCCTTTCTTCTCCTCATGTAGATGCCCTCTTCATCCTTCCCAGGCTCTGACACCCAATTGTGGATCACTCACACATGTGATGCCTTCTTTATTTCATTCAGGCTCTGCCTCCTAACTTCAACCCTATTTTCCATGTGTATGTTTCTCATCCTTCTCACACTCTGCTATCTATCTATGCAGATGCCTACCTGGCTGTCACACCTAACATTGGCTTTAGGAATGAGCTGGTCATCAAGGGGTGGGAAAAATAAGAACTGTGTTCAACATTTTATTTAGAATGTGCTTTCTAGTTAGTGTTGATATAACAATATGTTAAGAAGGCTATTGTATTTCTGTTCTCTTTCTCTTAAAAAAAGTAGAGTATCAATCAGTGTGGAATACCATGGCAATTGATGGACAAGGGTTTCTGTTAAAACAAACAAATCAATGTAGAAACCAAAGAAAGAGAAAATTTTCTTCACATTTTTCATCTTTTGTTCAAATGTCTTGGTATTATGAACATAATCTCAGAATCAGTATTGAATAGTAATGATTAATATATTCATGAGTCTTGCATTTTTTAAAATTTTTTGTTCTTTTTAGTTATACATGACAGTATCTTGCACATTTTGAAGAAGATGGTTTCTGATGCATGATGCTTTTGAATAAAAATTTATCTTTTAAAACAGAAATGCAAATATTTAGTCATGATAACATTACTGTCATTCATTTATACCACAGGATTTTTCAAGGCAGTGTTTACATTGAATTGAAACCTCTGCAAGATGGTCCTTGATGACCTTTTCACAGAGAAGTGCTAATAAGGAATAAAGATATTTCCATCAAAGAGTCTAAACTCCTGGAAACTACAGCTTTCCCAGGATAAAAATATTGTACCTGAGTTTGCCTCCAAGCCTTTCAAGATACAAACTAACCCTTTCGATAAGTAGCTTTCTCATTCTTACTTTTACTCCATATTTTCCTTTCTAAATTACAAATTTAGCCTTTCTTCTAAATCAAGATATGATATGGAATAATTTTTTAATTCTAAGCCAAAAACATACCCAAACTCCCAGTGAGTTCCCAGGAGTCCTAAATGCTATAAAAGTACTCTCTTGGTTGTGTCTTGCTCCTTTAGGGAGTCATCCCTCCCCATCTGTATCCTCTTGGAGACCATGAAGAGGAAAAACAGTCTCTGTGGCTTCTCCAACCAGGTGGGTCAGATTAGCTGTACAGTTCACTTAGGAGGAAGCTAACAAAGCTCCTCTGTGGGTGTTTGAGCACATTTTACAAAACTGTTAATGACCTCATGAGCCAAAGAAACCAGGTCTCACATTGTGGACTAAGCCTAAATATTATAACTTTATATTTATGTAGTGTCTTTTTTCCAAGGAACTCCAGCTTCTTTACAGACATTATGTCATTAATCCTCAAAGCATCCCTGTTTGGTACAGGGCTAATATGATCCCCTTCCCTTTTTTTTTTTTTTTTTTTTTTTACTGTGATGGAAACTTGCAAGTCAGTGATGGAACCCAGCCCCCTAGTTCTTAGTCTAATGCATTATACCATGAAAAAATCCAGACAAATACTTCTGCAAGTTTATTCATAGCTTCTTGGGTGGGATTTGAGAAGATGTCTCAGTTTGTATGCATTTCAATCTTCAGTGTCTCTAGCTTCTATTCTTACAGTTTTCTTCATTACAAGATCAGCATGTTCAAGCATATGTAGTTTACCTTTCACTGCTGCATTTATGGCAAAATAGAAGTTTGTAGCTGAAATTTGAAGTGAAAGACTTTGTTATTGGATATGCTATTTTATTTACCACTCAGAGATTCCTTACATTTCTTATATCCCAAAATAAGTTAGTTTTTTTTAAGTTTCCATGACAACTCAGGGTGCATTTCATTTTATAGCAATCCCATGTTCACTAACATCAGGTAAGGTTCAGCTAGATACAAGCAATTTGTATTTAATGACTAACAAGTACCAAATTTTGTGCCAAACATTTTCAAACACATAATCCTATTTTACATATGTAATATTTTATGAGAACCTGTTAGATTTAAGTCTTATGTGTATGGAAACACTCCCTAGACTAACACAAGAAAAAGAGAGGCACTAATAAAATATGGCCTCATCTACTATATCCCACCCAAAAAAGAACCCTCTCAATTAACTCTTAATTCCCTAAGTGGAAACCCCTGGGGTAACTATTTCCACAAAAGTGGAAAATATGAGTAAATTATAAAAATCATCAGGAATTAGCTCAAGTCAAAAACAAAACAAAAACACCTCAAAAGACTGTTAACACAAAAGACTGCAGTTAACACAAGGCACAGAGAAGAGAACAAAACGTATTCATAGCTAAAGATGACAAATATTTCTTTATTTTAGTTGGTTAGACACTTCCTAATCAGGATTATTAGAATCAAGAATGATGAACTATAGTGACAAAACTTTAAAACTCATAAAGATCAGTTTTACATTCCATTTTTAAATAAGTTGATATGAACTATTTGTGTTGTTTTTCTAAGTTGGTAGATGCCTATACTTTGCTGAATTAGATACTGATAGTGAAATGAGAGATACTGAGCAGAATAAGAAAAACTCTTTTCTTCTGAAACAAAGCAGAAACTTTCAATTATTAATCACTAAATTCTAAAAACCTCAGAGTAAAATGTGTCATATACCCTGCAACAATACTGTTCCGCTCTGCTCTCTAGCCCAGCTAGATTTGAAATGGACCTACATTTCTAAATAGTGTTTAATTTGAAACTGAGCAGCCCTACCACATCATGGAAAATCTTTATAGGCTGGAAAATATGTATAGTATGTCATACTTTAGGTATATAATCTAGCTATATTCTGTAGCATAGTTATACTGCAGTGTATACTCAACAATTTAAGTTTTTAAGAAAACATATACATAACATTTCAAGCATTTGTTTTTTCTTGTCATAGGAAATATTAACCAAAAGGAATGCCTGGTGTCCCAAATAAAAAATTTAGTGATGGGGAAATTTAGAAAATGTTAGTCAAAAACTAATATTTAGGGCTGGGGTTATGGCCCAGTGGGAGAGCACTTGCCTAGCATGTGTGAGGCACTGGGTTCGATTCTCAGCACCGCATATAAACAAATAAATAAATAAATGTTTAAAAAAAAAAGAACTAATGTTTAGCCAACCGCAGTGGCACACGCCTGTAATCCTAGCAGCTTGGGAGGCTGAGGCAGGAGGATCGCAAGTTCAAAGCCAGCCTCAGCAAAAGTGAGGCACTAAACAACTCAGTGAGACCCTGTCTCTAAATAAAATACAAAATGTGGCTCAGTGGTCAAGTGCTGTGGTAAGCCATTCTTATAGACCGTGGCCGCCATTAGAAGATGGCGCCGGCTTCCACTGTGGCCTGTGATAAACAACTCCTTTTTTGGAGAGTTGGCGCGCAATCCCTTACCACCCTATGAGAGAGATCCACGTGGCAGCTTGGGATTGGTATACGGGAGGCTTTATTAGGCTGTGCTTGGGCGCTCGGCAGGGGGGTCGCTAGAAGATGATACTTGAATCGAGGCCTGAATAAACTGCTGAAAGAAGAATCCTGTGTCGTGTTTTCCCTTGCCAGCGAGGGGTCGCGACAATTGGTGGCCCGTACGGGGAACCGAATATTCCTCGAACCCAGGATCCAGAACTTTCAGCAGTCAGGGTGGTGCACCGGTAAGTTCCCAGGTAAAGTGGGAATCCACAAGCAAATAGCGGGGCGCTCTCTCTGTAAATAGAGAGCGGGAAAAAGGACGCTCCCCTGTAAAAGGAAGAGAGCGGGGAATTCATAGAACGGAACGCTCCCCTGTAAAAGGAAGAGAGCGGGGATTTTTGTACCTTCACTTTCTTTATAGTTCTAAAAACATTATGGGCGCTACTTCTTCAAGCCCAATTTTGTTGGCCCTAGATGGGTTGCTACGTTCAAAAGGACTTAAGGTAAAGCAGAGCACTTTGCAGATGTTTTTGAGAGAAGCTGCCGGGGCCGCGGCCGCGGTCTGGGCATGAGGATGGCGGTGGGCTCAGTCAAGATGCAGCCGCCGTGCGAGAACCCGGCCCTGGCCGCAGCGGTGGCGGCGGCGGACAGCGCTCTGCGCCGCAGTCCCAGCGCCCGCGAGCCAGAGCGCGAGCAGCCGCCGGCGTCACTGCGGCCGCGGCTGAAGGACCTGCCTGCACTGCTGCAGAGCGGGCTCACGCTGCGGAGAAAGTGGAGCGCTGCTGGGGGCCGGGACCGGACAGAGCCGGTGTGGGTTCCAGAACGCCTGACAAGAAGAGCCCCGACAAATAAATCTGAGGTTAATATAACCACTTTGGCCATTACTTCCCAGGTGTTAATTCCGTTGTCTCCTTCCAATCAGACCTCTAATGCCACTCATTTTAAGGCTTCTCCTTATTGCACCCCTGAGTATGGCTTCCCTCCTATATTTACACCTTGTCAAGATCACTCTTGGGAGAAACATCAGGTCGCCAAAGGTTTTTCCCTTTCCCCCTCTCTCAAAAGGTACTTGTATAATTCTTCCAACAATAATTCCTCTATAGGAGCGGGTTGGTCCTGGTTTCAGTGGTTGATTTCCAATGAAAAGGGGGCCACAGCCGATGTCTCTGCTCTGGCTCAATTGAGAGGAGTCCAGAGTTGGCTGTTTAATGTGTCTGGCTCTGTACAGGACACTGCTAATGGTAGGAGACTTAAAAACATTTCATTCAATTCTCAGGTGTCCAATGCTACACTACCCTCTGCAGCAGTCTGTCTTCATTCTCCGTTTCTGTTCCTTTTGACCAATGATACCAATACTACAGAATCGGAAATGATTGACTGTTCTAATTGTACATGTGTCTTGTCTGAGTGTTGGAATGGATCCTGGAGCACGGCAGTTGTTATGAAGGTCCCGACTTTCGTCCCGATTCCGGTTACTGCGGATCCGGACTCCTTCCCTATTATTGAGGTGCTCAGGAGCCGTAGGGATTTTGGAATCACAGCAGCTATTGTAACAGCGGTTGCAGTATCTGCTGCTGCAGCGGTCGCTGCCGGAGTGGCCATGGCTAGTCAAGTGCAGACTGTGGCCACGGTTAATCAGGTCATCCAACAAACTTCCAGCATTTTAGAGTCTCAAAGTAAAATCAATCAACATATTTTATCAGGAATTTTGGCCGTTAATCAAAGGGTGGATCTCCTCCAAGCTCAGATTGAGGAATTGTCAGACCTAGTACATTTGGGTTGTGTTGATCATCGTGCACATCTATGTGTAACATCTCTCAGATTTAATGATTCCAGAAATACCTCTCAAATCATTGGACAGTACCTGGCCGGAAACTGGTCCATGGAAGCAGAGAAGTTGATCCAGACCCAACTGACACAAATTGCCATGTTGAACAACACTCGTGTGGACCCTGTGACATTGGGCCAATTTACGAATTGGCTGTCTTCTGCCTTTTCTTTCTTTAAGGAATGGGTGGGAGTAGGCATTTTTGGAGCGATGTGTTGTTTTGGGATTGTCCTTTGTCTGTGGCTTTTCTGTCGCCTAAGAGCTCGCCATAGCCAAGAAAAGGCTATGATCGTCCAGGCTTTTGCAGCCCTAGAGAATGGTATCTCTCCACAAGTTTGGCTTGCGCAACTTAAGCAATAATTTCCTGGGTTTTGGCCATTGCACCCCAAGTTATTTTCACATTGCACTGGGATTGACATGCCCTCTTCTTTATGCTCTCCCAGTGCTGAATAGCCTTTGCACTCTGCAGGTCTTCTTACCATTGCACGCAGATGGGTTTCAGGACTGGTCTTTCTTCTCGGCTACAGACTCTTTACCTTCCTCTGGGGCTTAGGGATAGTGTCGCCAACTTAATTTTTGTCATTACTACCAGGCTACCTGTGTTATCCTACTTCTCGCCGTCGTCACGATGCAGGATGTGAGGCAAGGCACTGCACTTGAGTGATCCCTCAACGGACCTCAAGGAAAGCATGTCCTATTGCATGCAGGTTTGACGTCCACGCCCCGCCCTACGAAAAAAGGCGTCGGCTGATATGGGACCAGGTCTAGGGAAGGGCCCTCCTTAGGACTGAACCATACACTGCAGCCACTTCTGCACAGTGGGATAGGACCTCTACTTTCGCCTGCATTGTTTTATAAAATAGAAGGGGGAACTGTGGTAAGCCATTCTTATAGACCATGGCCGCCATTAGAAGATGGCGCCGGCTTCCACTGTGGCCTGTGATAAACAACTCCTTTTTTGGAGAGTTGGCGCGCAATCCCTTACCACCCTATGAGAGAGATCCACGTGGCAGCTTGGGATTGGTATGCGGGAGGCTTTATTAGGCTGTGCTTGGGCACTCGGCGGGGGGGTCGCTAGAAGATGATACTTGAATCAAGGCCTGAATAAACTGCTGAAAGAAGAATCCTGTGTCGTGTTTTCCCTTGCCGGCGAGGGGTCGCGACAAAGTGCCTCTGAGTTCAATCCCCAGTACCCCTGCCCCCCCCAAAAAACTGATGTTTGTCCAAGCAGTGTCTCCCTGTATAGCTATGCTGATGGTACAATGCAAAATTCTAGATACCTAAAACAGACAAAAATGTAACTGGTGCCCCTGGAGTTTAACAGTGTCTTGCAGCCCTGACTTTAACTGAATAATAAAGCTTTTGAAATGTCCATGTTTTTTCTCTGATTCACAGCTTAAGACCAATTATGAGCAGCAGTGGGGCTTTAATTATTATTCTTGCTATTTATATGCATGCAAGGTTTTTAGTTTTTTCATCTCCATATTGGTTCCAAACGACTTCCTTACTGACTGAGGTTCAGCACACTAGTCTGGCTTTCTCACAGGTTTTCATGAGTCAGGGGAAAAACATGTACGTTCTAACAGGAGTCTCATCGGACATGCTCAATCAGCCCTGGGCTAATTTATGAAGTCCCTCCCTCCATTCTTTTCTTTCTATATTCCTATAGCACACTAATTGCCCTTACTTCCTCTTTTCTGTATTGGATCCTGGTTAGAGTTTGTGGCTTATATGCCTGTGTCTCTTGCCATCTTGAAACATACTACTGTCAACTCTTGTTATCTTGCTTCCACCCTGCCCTGCTCCCATCAGCACTATGGCACTTGATGGAAACTTGAATCTTCTGCTTTCCTGACCCTCCTTCTTTACTCTTCCATTCTTCAGATATACAAGAAACTAGCAGTTGTAGTTGTCTTCTAGGAGGGGAATTGGGTTACTCTGGGATGGCAGGGAGATTCTTGCTATATACTCTTACATTACCTTTTGAACTGTATACTAGGTGAATGCATTAGCTATTGAAATAGGTAAATAAAACAAAAATGGAAGCAGGCAATTAAATAACTAGACTTGAACTGAACTTATGACAGAAAATTCTGTTATTTATAGGAAAGGGTTCAAATGTACTAAAAAAAAATAAAAGTGTATCAGGAAGAAAGATACGATTATTTTGTGCTAGGAACTTTAAAATTTCATTGTTTCATTGTTTCCTGGATAAATGACATGAAAATTCAGTTTAGGTATCTATCTCTTATATAAAATATATCCACACTCTGAATATCCAACTACTTCTTAGAAGTTTTCTTTTTCTTCTCTTCAAGTGAGCTTATGCCAACATAAAATGAAAACCCAAATTCTTAGTGAGCATGTCTTGCATTCTGCCTCCTCGTGTGGAAAAACATTTCAGATGATGCCAGAGTTCCCAAAGGTCATCTCTCTCTTCTTCCTGCCAGCAAGAATAGGCAGCTCTATGACCCAAGGTTTGGATATCACACTAATAGAGATCATTGCAGACAAAGTGGTCTTAGGTATTGTATAAGATCTAGCTCTGTAGTCATTTCTGTACTTACAGTTTTATGTGTTCCTTTCCACACCTGCTAAAGCACTTTGTAGAGCCTCAGATACAAGCAAATGACCTACATAGCAAGTCTGTGAGAAGCAGCATATCACATTTCCAATTCTGTATCTATAATCTGTACCTCTCTTTTTTGAAGAATCAGCAAAACTTCTGATTTTAGTACATATAATAGCACCATCATGTCATTGCTTGTGGATTTATTCCATTCATGCCACAAAACAAAAAACAAATTTTTCATTTTTATAACTAAAGTATGTTCTTGAGGATGTTGCTGTGCTTTATGTGTCCATCTTTAGCTACCATGGAATTCAAAATTAATTACTCAGGCACTTAAAAGTATGGAACTTACATTTTTCAATTTAAAATCATATAATATTTAATTAGAATAAATAATTTAATTTTTAAAAAGCATATAATATTTTAGAATATTTTATGATTGAAAAAATTAAGTCAAATTAATTTTAAGAATTTTAAGGGGTTTTCTGTTGGTTCATTTGTTTGTTTTGTGGTGTTGGGGATCCAGGGCCCTCATGTGTACTAGGCAAGTGCTCTACCACTGAGCTACATCACCCACCTAGCTTAAGGTTTTTAAAAAATATTATTTTATTATCTTTTCAGCTTGCAAATAGAAAGAGTTTTATAATAACGTTTTTACCATATTGAAATAAGGAAAATAAGGGATGAAAGTAATAAGCATATTGATTATAAACATCAAGTAATAAAAGTAATAACTTTAACAGAACTTATAAATTAATATAAGATGTCATATTTTATTTTTTGTTTTGATATTGGGGTTGAACACAGGGCCTTGTTCATGCTAAGCACATACTTTACCATTGAGCCCTAGAATGTCATTTTTAAACTTTAATAGTGAAAGCTACACACAAATACATTATCTTAGTGATTCAAAAATTACTAATGAGGATATTCTGTACCTTTTATTTCACATTTAAAATGTGCATGTGTGTGTGTACGCACACACAGAAAATGTGAGGTGTGTGATATGGCAACCACTAGCCACATATGGCTATTGTGTGCTTCAAATGTGACTAATTTGAATTAAGATGTGTTATAAGTATAAAAAAATATACTGGAATGTGTACATGTACTACCAAAAAAAGAATGTAGGCCAGGTATGATGGTGCATGCCTATAATCACAACCACTCAGGAGGCTGAGGCAGAAAGATGGAAAGTTTAAAGGCAGCCTGGGCAATTTAGATTAGCCTCTGTCTTAAAATGAAGAGAAGAAAAAGAGGGACTGGGGATGTAGCTCAGGGATAAAGTGCCTGAATTCTATCCCCAATACTGAAAAAAAAGTAATAATTCAAAATATCTCAATAAATTTTATATTGATCACATTGGAATGATAATCTTTTTGATTAAATAAAAATATTATTGGGATGGAGGTATAGCTCAGTGGTAGAATAAGTGTTTAATCTGTGCAAGGCTCTGGGTTTTATCACCAGTACCTCATAGATATACACACACATACATGCACACACACACACTTTCTCTCTCTCTCTCTCTCTCTCTCTCTCTCTATATATATATATATATATATATATATATACTATATGTATATAATTATATACTTAAATATATATACATATATAATTATATAATTATAAACTTAAATATATAATTATATATGTATATATATTTAAGTTTATAATTATATATTTATATATATGTACTTATATATATATATATACATATATAATTAAAATTTAATTTTATCTGGTTTTTACTTTTTAAAATATGGCCAAACTCTAAAATTATATATTTGGTTTATAATTGTGTCTATGTATTACATTCTTTTTCTATTGGATAACACTATTATATGTGTGTGTGTATATGTGTGTATAAATTGATTTCTAATAATCAGAAGATACATTCTTTTGAAATTATCTCTAAACTGTCCTATTCAAATATAGGAAATATATTTTCCTTTGTGGTCTCATCTTTTTAAAATAATCATGTGCTGCTTTTATTTTTTACTATCATAAATATACATAATATAGAATTTACTATTTTGACCATTTTTAATTGTATCATTTCATGGCATTAAGTACATTCATATTGTCATGCAACCATCACCATCATCCATCTCTAGAACTTTGTATGCTTCCAAACTAAAACTCCATACCTATTAAACAATAACTCCTCATCTCTCTCTCCCCTCTTCTCCTGGCAACTATCTTTTTATGTTCTGTCTATAGGAATTTGACTACTCTAAGCCAGGCGTGGGGGCTCATACCTGTAATCCCAGTGGCTCAGGAGGCTGAGGCAGGAAAATAGTGAGTTCAAAGCCAGCTTCAGTAAAAGCAAGGTGCTAAGCACACAGTGAGACCTTGTCTCTAAATAAAAAATACAAAATAAGGCTGGGAGTGTTTCTCAGTGGTCAAGTACCCCGAGTTTAATCCCTGGTACAAAAAAAAAAAAAAAAAGAATTTGACTACTCTAGATGCCGCGTACAAGGAAAAATCAAAGAATATTTGTCCTTTTGTAACTGGCTTACTTCATTTAGTCTTCCTTACAATTCACCCATGTTGAAGCATATATCAAAATTTTATTCCTTTTTTAAAAAACTTTGTTTTATACCTTTATTTTATTTATTTATTTTTATGTGGTGCTGAGGATCAAACCCAGCACTTCCACCTGCTAGGCGAGCCCTCTACCACTGAGCCCCAACCCCAGCCCCATCCTTCTTAAGCCTAAATAATATTCTGTTGTATGTATAAACCATATTTTGTTTATCCATTTTTCAGCTCATCTAATGATGGACATCTGGGCTGCTTCCACCTTTTGGCTACTGTAAATAATACTGTGAACCTGGGTGTACAAATGTCTTTACATGTTTTTGCTTTTAGTCCTTTTGGAAATATATCCCAAAGTGGAATTACTAGATCATAAGGTAGTTTTATTATTATTTTTTTTGTGTGTAACTACCCTGCTGTTTTCCATGGCTGCTATATATTTTACATACCCACAGCAATGCACAAGTGTCCCAATTTCTCCACATCATCTCTAACACTTGTTCTTTTCTTTTTTTAAATAATATCCATCCTGATAGGTGTAAAGTGGTATGTCATTGTGGTTTTGGTTTGCATTTCTCTAATGATTAGTGATGTTGAACATGTTTTTATGTGTTTATTGGCCAACTGTATATCTTCTTTAGAGAAATGTCTCTTCAAATTATTTGCCCATTTTAAAAGCAGGTTGTTTTGTCATTGTTAGGTTGTAGGGGTTTTTTTATATATTCTGGGTATTAATCCTCTGTCAGATATGTGATTTTACAAGTATTTTCTCCCATTCCATTTTGCATCCTTTGAACCACGGAATTTTAATTTTGATCGAGTCCAATTTACCTGTTTTTTTTCTCTTATTGCCTGTGTTTTTCCAAGAAATCCTTACCAAAACCAATGTTATAAAACTTTCCCCTGTGTTTTATTCTAAAATTTTTATAGGTTGGTTATTGTTTTGTTTGCAGTTCTGAGGATTGAACTCATGGTGCTCT